AAAAGTTACAGCGATTTGTTAAAACTGCACATTTTTGAAAAACACTAAAACTCTTGTAACTCTAAAACGGTAACAGATATCGATGTGCGGTTTTCATCATCATGTTTTTGATAAAAATTGAGCTCAGACACCGATATTAGTTTTTGTCTATCTCCTATAGAAAAGGATGTTAAGCCTTTAAAAGCGTCCAATTTGGCAAACCCTGTATAGGGTGGTCGAAATTGGTCTGTTTTAACTAGCAATGGGAACTATCGAATGAATTAGACTCAATGAATGATTCCAACTATCGAATGGTTTTATTCGAATAAAATTATTCATTCATTTGTATATTAAAGCATATGTGACACCTCGCCGTGCGACTAAATGGTTATCGTTGAGCCACGACTATCGAATGCTTTTTATAAATGAAATATTTATTAACTCGTTTGATTTTTGTGTGCGTCAGTGCATTATTAGGTCTTTCAAATTTTTATAACTTTGCCTTGTAAATACTGTGCTATTTTTGCGTTTATTAAAATATTCAAAATACTAAAATAGTGTTTTTTTTTTAAATTGACAATTGTGTGCGTGTTCAGGTGGTCAAAATTTGTGTGATTTTCCGTAGCCCGATCTTTCATTTATTTACTTTTATATGGTATATGGTCTATTTTTTTAATGGGAAATTTTGAGAAGTAGCAATATTTAAGAGAGATGAGATGAACTTACAATTATTTTTAAAAATAGATATTTGTATTTTAGATGTTTTAATACAAATATCTATGAATAATATGAATTAGTTCTTAATAATCTAATAATCTAATAATAAATAATGAACTAAGTACCTAATGTGGTTATCGAACTCAAATTTTGTGGTCAGAAAATTAAATTGAAAGTTTTAGATGTGCCAATTTAAAAAAAAAAGTTAACGATATTTGTATTTTGTTTATGCTAATTCTCTTACATGTAGTTTTTTGCGAAGAAATATTTCATTTATTTTTTAAAGTAAATGCCAGTAAAAGTAAATATTGTTTTTTAATAGTAATATAAAGTAATATAAATCATTTTGATTCCTAATTTTTTAAACGTTCTCCAACCAACTAAAATCCAGATTATATTTTATTATAATCGATCCTGACGAATAAATGAATTTTATAAATAAATGGTTTTTGCTGCCGAATTGAATTATACTAGAATACAATATTTCAAGGCAGGTGACGCATCTATTCGATAATTTTTATTCGAATAGTTTTCGACGAATGTTTTCTTACTAGCTATCGAATTATTCGAATGAATTGCAACTATCGAATGTTTCGATAGTATTTATTCAATAGTTCCCACTACTAGTTTTAACAGAGAAAACCTATTTCCTGACTAGATAGAGCAAAACCGTTTATGGTTTATGAGGCTGTTTCTTAGTGTTTATGCTATCCACCTATTGATATCTTCACTGAAAATTGAGATTCGGGGTCTTATTGAATTTTTTACCATTTTGAAAATTGCCAATGAGTTTTGTAATTCGTGGAATAATAAAATTTTGTAAAAACTGTTTAAGGCACTTTTTTAAGTACAATCCAGTGGCGTAGTCAGCTTTTTTCTATACTTGCTCTTTTTGTCAGAAATAATAAAAAATATATATTTTTAATGGATATCATAATTAGATATATAGGCTGAGCATGCATTAGAAGTTTCTAGAGAACTACAATATCTAGACCGGAGATTTTTTGCACATCATTGGTTCATAACGAGATCTATCGATTAAAAATATTTTCAATATGGCGGCACTTCCGGAAGTACCGGAAGTTGACAGCAACTTTCTTATTTTAAATGGGTGCCCCCATTTTTTATTACATACTTATATTCTATGTAAAATTTTATGAATTTTGATATTAAACACTTTATACCTAACGTTAACTGTTTTTGAGAAAGAAAATTGTTAAAATTTTTGGACGAAAAAAACTATCTGTCAAAAAAATTGTATAGTCTAAAAGTCAAATTTAGTTGATTACCACAGCCACTGTGACATAAAGAGAAGACATGTGGCTATCTATTTCAAAAATTAAATTGTTCAAATGTCATATAATAATGGCGGTAGCTGTCATGGAATTGAGCGATTAAAAAATTATCATAAATCATTTTTTTAAAATGGATACCCACTTTTTTTATTTCACTAATAAAAAGGTTTTTCAATTCGTTACTTTTTGACTATACATGTTCCTATACCTAAAATAAATCGTTTTTAAGTTATTTAAGATTTAATTTGAAAACGTATATTTTTCTTGATTTTAACTAGCTTCCTTTGACATTAAGTGTCAAACGGTCAGACAATTTATTTCCATCTGTCAGAAAACGAATTATTTGAATTTTCTATATTATAAATACTGCTTGCTTAAGAGTTTAAAAAGTGTATTTATAAAAATATATCTCGTATTTTTGCTCTTTAATGTTATTTAATAGTTGATATTATTAATAATATTGCGTATGATCGAAAAAAAAAGCGCAAAGTTGGCTCGGAAATGGTGCTGCTTTTTGAACAAAACGTCACAATATAACATGGCCAGCCAACAACAACAGTCACAATATAACATGGCCAAAGTCATAGCCTACCTACTGGTTAAAATCCAGAAAAAAAAATACGCTTTAAAACTAAATCTTAAATAACTTAAAAACGATTTATTTTAGGTATAGGAACATGTATAGTCAAAAAGTAACGAATTGAAGAGCCTTTTCAGCAGTGAAATAAAAAAGGGGGTTTCCATTTGATAAAAAAATTTTATGATAATTTTTTAATCTCTTAATTCTCTGACAGCTGCGGCCATTCGAACAATTTAATTTTTGAAATAGATAGCCACATGTTTTCTCTTTATGGCACAGTGGCTGTGGTAATCACTAAATTTGACGTTTAGGTTAAGACTAGTAGTGGGAACTATCGAATGAATACTATCGAAACATTCGATAGTTGCAATTCATTCGAATAATTCGATAGCTAGTAAGAAAACATTCGTTGAAAACTATTCGAATAAAAATTATCGAATAGACGCGTCATCTGTCTTGAAATATTGTACCTATTCTAGTAATTCGGCAGCAGAAACCATTCATTTATAAAATTCATTCATTTATGAAATTCATTTATTCGTCAGGATCGATTATAATAAAATATTAACTGGATTTTAGTTGTCGCCCGGCGACGTAGGTTTGTTTCCCAGAAACCCGACAGCGGTCGGTGGCAATGCTATGAAAGAAGGCGGCATCTTTGATTTTTGGCGGAGTAGATAAAGATAAGGACACATTATTTTTTTTATTGAGGTGCTAGTATTTACACAAAAACTACATTATGAAGGGCGCTGTTGCCATATATTGGTATTAGTTGATACTAGCAAAGAATATTATTGTCTGGCTTCAGTTAGTTAGGGATAGTATGTCTATATATTTTGCATTTTTTTATTAATATTCTGTTGTTACACGCAATAATACTTGTTATTTTGGATGTAGGACAATGATTTTTAATGCTTTTAAGCAAAGACTGGTTTAAATAATAACAGTAATAATTTGTTATACCTATTAACGACAAAATTTAAAATCATTTAATATAAACATTTTTTTAAGTAGTGGCAAAATATAAACAACAAATTAAATGTTAAAATTATTTATATTAGATCCTATTTAAAAATAATATAGACTCTAAATTTTTTGGCAACGGTTGTTTTTTAAATAATAATAATTACAGAACTAATTTGTTATATTAACAACAAATTTTAAAATCGTGAAATATCAACATTTATTAATTTTCTAAGCATGCAGTGTAATGGAAGGAAAATGTAAATAAAAAATTAGTAATCAAAATTATTTATATTAGGTGCTTTATATTACTATTTAAAAATAATATTATTTACTTTTACTGGCATTTACTTTAAAAAATAAATGAAATATTTCTTCGCAAAAAACTACATGTAAGAGAATTAGCATAAACAAAATACAAACATCGTTAACTTTTTTTTTAATTGGCACGTGTAAAACTTTCAATTTAATTTTCTCACCCCATAGTTTGAATTCGATAACCCCATTTACGTAACCACATTACTTAAATATGATTATTAAGTTCAACTAATTCATATTATTAAAACATCTAAAATACAAATATCTATTTTTAAATTAATTGTAAGTTAATCTCATCTCTCTTAAAAATTGCTACTTCTCAAAATTTTCCATTAAAAAATAGACCATATACCATATAAAATTAAATAATTGAAAGATCGGGTTACGGAAAATCACAAAAATTTATAATATATAAGATACTAAATTTCATTTATCAAATGCATTCGATAGTCGTGGCTCAACGATAACCATTCAGTGGCACGGCGAGGTTGTCACGTATGCTTTAGTATACAAATGAATGAATGATTTTATTCGAATAAAACCATTCGATAGTTGAAATCATTCATTCAGTAACCATTCGATAGTCTAATTCATTCGATAGTTCCCATCGCTAGTTAAGACGGTCCTACACGATGCGTCCAACATTCGAACGAACGTTCGAACCAACATTTGACACAGTTTTCGACAATATTACAATAGGGTCTCCTACACGATGCTTCGAATTTATTATTATTATTCCGTATTTATTATTATTTACGGGTAGTCATATTTTAGCCATGTATCATGGCTAATCTTACTGTAGGTTTGCCCAATAATTTCGTTCTTCTCTTTTATTATAGTCCCCACGATAACATCTTTTGTTTATTGTTTTCTCTGGGCCAAGGTGATAGCGGCGAGGTATGTTGAACTACCTCCGCAGCGGTTTTTTGGTAGTAACGCTTGCGAATTGTGAGCTAC